GGAGCGCTGCCCCCCCGCCACTCTTCCCCACAGACTCACAGGACCTGAACACGCAGGCCCACGTGCGCACAAAAGTTATTTCCGAGCCAGAAACAGGCTCAGACCCACATGCTGAGATCAATACACAAACCACAAAGCACCTGATTCCACACTGAGACTAGGCACGCCTCTCCCCACACTCTCCCGGCCTCTCTACCACCCAGGCGGCCTCTGGACCAGACCTGGGTTTGGGATCTCACTTCCACCACTTACTAGCTGTGTGTTCTCATGCAAGTTACTCAACTTCTAGGAAGCGATTTCCTCATCTAAAATAAAAAGAGAGAGAGATGGGAATAATAACAGCCCTCTGATGGACTTGTCAGGATGAAGAAGGATCATGCGCACAGGTATTCACCACAGCACTGGGACCACCTGGTGCTCACGGACACCCTCCTTCTCTCCTGTGCCCATGCTTTCGGTTTGGCGTCCTTTCACCAGCACTCCACTCCCCACCCTCACTCTGCCTGTCACGTCCACACAGGACAGTCTCAACGCCTAGGTTTCTGTTCTGCTCACTTCCCATGTGTCAAAAACATAAGTTTTGGGACTGCATTTGAAGGAGGTGACAATTGCTCCAATCAAAGTGAAAATATGTTTCCAGTCTATTGATTGATCGGCTACTCATATGTACTTTTGGAAGGTTCATTGGATTGGGTACTGTTTGCATGACATCATCACTTTTAGATTTCTTCATTTGAAACAAATAAATGTAAACTATATCTGAATCCATATTAAGTATGTTATGCACACCCATCAGTACGTATGACCATGTATACTTAACTGAGCACTCATGCTGTGCCGGCTTGTGTGTAAAAGTGGCTCATGTTTATGGTATTTCACTGACTACCTATGATGTAAGTACAATTACTACCCCTATTTTTTTTTAAATGTATTTTTACTGATTTCAAACAGGAAGGGAGAGGGAAAGGGAGATAGGAACATCAATGATGAGAGATTGATCGGCTCCCTAGGGCCACAAACCAGCCAGGGCCTTCCTTTGTTCCACACTGCCTCCTGGTGGTTAGTGCACATCACAGCAAGCAATCGAGGTCTCCCCGTTGAACTCCCAAGGGAATAGTTTGCATATTAGCCTTTTATATAGAGAGAACACTATACCAAATAGCTTGTGAGACTTTTTTTCTGGATTGACCTTCATGTGTGTGGGGAGAGGGGTGTACACATGTGTACGTGTGTACCAAGCAGAGACAGCTAGTGACTGACAGAGAAAATGTGCTTTACAATAACATAGCCAGCCCAATAGGCAAAATCAACAAAGCATATTATAAGTGTGTCCCTGATAACTCAACATCGGTGGGAGGCAGGAAACCTCTATTCCCTGGGATTTTTATACACTCCACCACGGTGGGCATGGTAGGATCCGTCCTGGTTGTGTGATTTACACAATCCTCAGGCTGGTCCGCTTTGCTCACAGCTTCCTAAATATCTTTTCTCTTTCCTCTTTGAGTCTTCAAATCACTTCCAAACAGACGGCTCAATTAAAAGTCTGTTGCAGCCTGCCCTCCTGGACTGATTATGCCCTAGCACAGTGATGGCGAACCTATGACATATGTGTCAGAGGTGACACGCGAACTCATTTTTTTGGTTGATTTTTCTTTGTTAAATGGCATTTAAATATATAAAATATATATCAAAAATATAAGTCTTTGTTTTACTGTGGTTGCAAATATCAAAAAATTTCTATATGTCACACGGCACCAGACTTAAGTTAGGGTTTTTCAAAATGCTGACACACGGAGCTCAAAAGGTTCGCCATCACTGACCTAGTCTGTAGTTCTGGTAAGCACTCCACCCCCAAGATCATGAACTGTCCAGGAAGTTCTCTGAAAGAAAAGTTTGGCAAAACCTTCTTCTCACAACAGGATTCCAGGCAATTCCACCGAGTCTGAGTGCCCCTGATAAGACCTCTTTCCTTTTGTGCCACTATTCCATGTCTCAGTGTCCCGCACCAAGGAGGA